GTGTGTGTGTGTGTGTGTGTGTGTGTGTGTGTGTGTGTGTGTGTGTGTGGTGTGACAGGGTCAGAACGGGGATAAGAGAAGGTGTGTGGTAGAGGGTAATTAAAATACATTATACTCATGTGTGCAATTGTCAAGCTATAAAATTGGTTTTTTAAAGGGTGTAGTCATGTACTCAGGAGGTGAATCAGAAGTTCAAGATTATCTTCAGCTACAAAGCAAATTCAAGCACAGCCTGGGCTACATGAAGTTTTGTCTCAAGGGAGTAAAAAGTCAATGGGAAGGTAGGGGAGAAACTAGCTGTACAAGTTAGATGGAGTAACATTTTAAGAGGGTTAGGGTTATAGCTCAGTGCTCGAATGCTTGCCTACCATTCGTATATGTGCAGGCTCTCCGTAAATTACCTACCTGTGGGGTCTGTGATGCCTAGCTAGCCCCACTCCCTCTGAACAGTGACAGGGCATCATTGGAAAGGGTGTCCCAGGTAATTTTATCCAGATCGCATACGTGACCAGCAACGCATCACTGGGAAAACCCACTTACAATATCTTTCATCACAGAGAAAATGAAAAATAGAAAGGTAAAGGAGAGATGGAAGGGAAGGGATGGGAAGATGGCTCCATCAATAAAGTTTATGCTGCACAAACCTGATGAAGTCAGTTCAGATCCACTAAACACTCCTATAAAAGCTGAGTGCAGTTTAGTGGCACGTGTTTGTAGCCATAAGGCAAGTGGACCCTGGAGCTCTCTGACCAGCCAGTCCAGCCAATTGGTAAGCAGGGGTTCAATGCCTCAAAACGTAAGATGGAGAGCAATGCACAAAGAAATCTAACTTCTATACACACATGCACAAGTGTGCACACACCAGAAAGGAAAGGAGAGAAAGGGGGCAGGCAGAGAAAGCAGTCCATCCCAGTAACCATTTCTTAGACAAACACTGCTCCCACTTCCTTGTTGTGTTAGTATGTGAGTTCAGACTCAGCAGGTAAAAGGTTGGTCCCTAGAGTACTTCTAAGGAGTGCCAGGACTGCTGACACTGCTGCTTCCCAACCCACACCTTGAACAGGGCAGTTATCAAATGCTGGGGTTTCGAGGGGGGAGGGTGAATAGGATGTCCTCTATCAGAGACAAGTCTGGGAATGAGATACAGATGAAGATGATCTCAAGCACAGACTTTCTGTACGTTATTCTTTTTCCCTCTCAGGACAGCTGCATAAGGAAGATATATTTTACATAATCAAGGAAATAGATTAGTTAGAAGCCAAAGTCAAAATCAAACCAAGGTCTGTCTTGATGCTAAAACTCTGTTCCCTTAATGCTTTCCAAGTTGAGAGAACACGATAATGAAGTTCTATTGGTCAGAGGGTAGCAGGGAGGCTGATTCCGAGCCAATTGCTGCAGTCTTTTCATTTTCTCCATCTTCTCCATTCTTCCCACGAGTCCTCCAGGGTTCTTACTGTTTGAAACTGCCATCTGTTTGGCCATTTGCTTCATTCTGCTCTTAAAATATAGTCCTTTTTTTTTTAAGTTTAAGGCTTTATTGTTTGCACAGTTAAAAAGCAGAGTATCCCTTTTCCAATTCTAAAATTGGAGGGCTGACTGCAAAAGAAAGTCATTTATCTAGGATTTAACCACACTCTTGAGAGTTTTTTTTTAATGTTACATTTCTCTGTGTATGTGCATGCATGTGTGTATATGTGTGTGTGTTGGGGGGGGTGGATGTCACAGGACAACTTCTGAGAGTCTGTTCTTCTGCTATGCACACTCCAGACACTGAATTTAAGTCATCAGGACTAATAGCAATTGCTTTTTATCCCCCACCCCCAACACACACACACAAGCTATTTCACCAGCCTATGTATTCAAGAGTTTTATTGTTTGCTCTCATAGAAAGTACCAGAATATCTGTTTTTTAGATAAGCTTTAGTAAGAGCTATGACATAAGTGCTAAATGAACAGCTTTGGTATAGAAACATTTAAGACTTTTGGGAAGTAGATGCTTCAGTCCACCAGATGGAACTCAAGTCACTGTTAGGAAATACTGTAAAGCAGCTGATATTGAACTAGTTCTGGATTTGGTCTTTTTGTTGTTGTTTTGTTTGGAGTTCTTTGTTTGTTTGTTGTTGTTGTTGTTGTTTGAATCAGGGCCTTGTATAGCATAGGCTGGCCTCAAACTTACTATGTAGCCATAGATGACTTTTGGACGTCTGATTCTCTTTCATCCATGTCCTGAATGCTTGGCCAATAGGCGTTTACCACCACAACTGGTTTATGTGGTGCTGAGGGTCAAACCCAGAACAATGTGCTTGCTAAACAAGCACCTTACAAACTAACTGAGTCACATCTCTAGCCCCATGGTTCCTGATTTCTGTCCATCAATAATCAACATGATCTTACTACTTTTCAATTTTTTTTCTAATGTCACCATATTCTCCCTGTCTTCCATCCCCAGAGCAGTATTCTGGTTAGAGTCTACATTATGGTTCAACAACCTCAGAGTGGCTAATCAGGTCTGTTTTCTGAGTCTGTTAGTTGCAGTATGGAGGGCTGATTTCTTTGACTCTAAATTGGTGAGACGGAGCTGTGGTTTCAGCTTTATGATAAGACAAGCTTGAGAACCTGAGCCCAATGCTCAGCACCAAAAATAATAACAATGATGTCAGCAACTTTGGACTTAAACTTCATTCTCAAGCTGTGGGTCAAGAGGAAGGAGCTATCTCAGCACTTTAGGCTTGACCACAGCCCTCAAGAGCTATTCTGGGCCATTGGTCACCTTCCAAATCATTAACTTCAAAATCTGCCAATCAAGCAGCCTTCCAGTGTAGGGCGATGCTAGGAGTGTTTTAGTCTATGCTACAAAGTCAAGGGTGATAGCAGCTTGCATGAGCGACAAGTTCTATAATCCTTCACAAAAAGTTTCCCCGAGCTGAGCTTCTAGATTACTTCTGAGTTTGATGCTGTGGGATTTTCTTTAAGTCATTGTCTACTTCGTTTCCAGCAAGCAGGACAGATTTGACTACAAAACAGCATGAAAGTGGAGGGAAATGCTATTCACTGTGTGAGTCAGGAAAAAGAAAAAGATACAGTGCTGTGTCTTCCATAAGATGTCAGTATGTACAGTTCCCAGCTCACCATGGTTTAGCTTATAATTTCTCAGCTTTCTCATCCTGGGAAAGTCTTTTGTATTTAACTGAAACTGTACTTCAAATTTGATCTTTTCCTGGGAGATATATATATATATATATATATAGATAGATAGATAGATAGATAGATAGATAGATAGATAGATATAGAGATATATATAATCAAAAGTAGTAAGATCATGTTGACTGTTGATATATATGTATGCTATGGGAAACTCTGAGAAGGGATTTTAGAAGAACTGTGATGTGGGATGTGGCCCTCAGCAGGCCCAATGTTTCATTTTTTTAAATGATGTGTGTGTGTGTGTGTATATATATATATTCATGTGTAAACAGTATAGATGTCCACATGCCATAGAGGTCAGAGGACAACCTCTAGTGTTGGTCTATGCTTTGCTCCTTGGGAATAAGGCTCTTATTTACTTCTCAATATGCTGGGTTATATGACCCTCTGAGTCCCAGTAAGTCCCCTCTCTCTGCTTCTTTCTCATTTCCCAGTGCTATAATTATAGACATGGGCTACCATGTCTGCTTTATATGGCTTCTGGAGGATCTGAACTCAGGCCTTCACACTCCTGAGGCATCTCCTCAGCTTTGGTACTTCCTAATGTTTCTTATTTTTAAAATTAGATTTATTTCTTTTATTTGATGTGTATGGATTTGCCTGTCTGTATATGTGTGTACTATATTCATGCTTGGTGTCCGAGGAAGTCAGAAGAGGGTGTCAGATCCTCTGGAACCAGAGTTACAGATGGTTGCTACTTGGCTGCTGGGGATCAAAGCTCCTCTGCAAGAACAAGAAGTGCTCATAACTGCTGAGTTACCTCTCCAACCCCATGGATGTTTCCTTCTTTAAAGTGGTCTGCAAAGGATAGAACTTAGAGAAGGGTCTGTGGAGCTATGGCTCAGTGGGATGGCAGGTTTCTGAGAAAAAGAAGAGCAGTGGGGACTTCTGAAGGAAAAGAAAAGGCTGGAAAGAGGGCTGAGCATGCGTGCTGGATCAGCTGCCTCAAGGAGGCACACCTTCACTTCCACCTCTGTGTGCTCAGCACTCCTGACTGCTCCGTGCAGTAGTTACGAGGTTGAAACTGGTATCCAGGTGGATAAAGAAAGAACTCTCCCTGTTGATATTCCTGTATCCTTCATGAATAACTGGTGACATCAGGCTCCGCTTCTTTCACTCGTCCAAAATCAAACAGAAAGCCACACATTACATTATGTAATTCCAGTTATATGAAGCATACAGAACAAGTGAGCTAGTGGTGTTTGGTAAGCAGGAAGGGAGGGAATTGAGAGTAACAGGTATACAGATTCTTTAGAATGATAGAAATTTCTGGAATCTGATAGTACTAACTATTGTGCTGCTCTTGGGAATGTTGTTTTGATTTTGTTGTTTTGTTTTATTTGTTGTGTTGTCTTCTTTGTTGTACAGTTGCATACACTAGGCTAGCTGGCCAGTGCAGTTCCAGGGTTTGTATTGT